CCTTAACTTTTATAAAAAAAGCTTTACTATACTTTTATAAAAGCTTAAATATACCCCTTTAAGCTATTTTCTTATTTTTTAAATATTATTATTATTATTATTATTATTATTATTATTATTATACCTTAGACCTAAGCTTAAAAAGTAAATATTTATAAATAACTTTATTTAACTAAATTAAATAATTAAAAAAAGCTAATTAAGTTTCTAACGCGCTTAAAAAAAGGCCTCCTAAGCTACTTATATTTATATTTTTACTACTATTACTACTATAACTACTACTATTACTACTATTATTAATACTAGCGTTAGTATTTCTCCTCCTATGCCTTAGTATATTACTCTTATACTATTAACTAGCTTTGCGTTTTTTAATACTACTGTAAATATAATATTTAATACTTAATTTACTAACCCCCTAGGTTATATACTTTCTTTAATTATTTAAAATCTTTTTTATAAAAACTATATTAAAGGTATTATTTTTAAAAAAAGTAGTTTTAACTATTATATTAATAATAATAAGCGCTTTTATTATTATATTAATTATAAAATTATAAATTATTAATATATACCTTTATAAATATATATATTACTCTTAAAAGCTTATTAAGTATTATTTTTATTAACTAAAAGCTTATTAAATATTACTTTTATTAATTAACTACTTTAAGTGCCTTTTTCTCCTCCCCCTTACCCTTAAGTTAATATAAGCTATTAATAATAATAATACTTTTATAAGTTATTTTAAGGCTTTTTATTAATTATAAGCTTAATTACTAACTTTTAAATAGTTAGCCCTTAAGTATTAGTGTATTTTATACCTTTAAATTAAATTACTAAATAATAAGGATTTAATATATAAAAAAAAGTAGTAAAAAGCTTTTAAAATAATTAAGGTAAAATTTTAACTTTAAGCTATAAAAGCTTAAAAAAAAGTTAAAAACTTTATTCTTTAATAAGTTTTTTATTAATTATTTATATATATTATAAGCAGCTAATTTACTATTAATTTAATTAATTAAATAGTTTTAAGTTTTATATAATAGTAATTAGAAAAGGTGCTAATTAAGCTAATAATTAAAAAAATTAGTAATACTAGCACTTTATACTAGGATTCCCTTTATAATAGCTTATATATAATAAGTAATAGATTATAGCGCCCTTTAGGGCCTATAATTTTATTATAATTATCCTCCTCTTCTATAAGCTAGTATTTAATAACTTTATAATAAAGAATATAGGGTATTTTACTTAGGTACGCTAGCTTAACTAGCTTAATAGCTTAACTAGCTTAATAGCTTAACTAGAATATCTTATTCTAGGCTTATTAGCCCTATAGGTTAATACTAACCTTTAAAAAACTATTATTTATAAGCCTAATGTAAGAGATTTAAAGGGGCCCCTAGCTTAGCTAGGCTAGCTTTACTACTGCCTTAAGCTAGATTTAAACCTATAACCTCTAAAAGACCTATAAAGTATTAGTATAATTATAATAGTAATTAAAAAAAGTACTAATTAAGCTAATAATTAAAAAGATTAGTAATACTAGTACTTTATACTAGGATTCCCTTTATAATAGCCTATATATAATAAGTAATAAATTATAGCGCCCTTTAGGGCCTATAATCCTATTATAATTATCCTCCCCTTCTATAAGCTAGTACTTAATAGCTTTATAATAAGGGATATAGGGTATTTTACCTAGGCACACTAGCTTAACTAGCTTAATAGCCTAATTAGCTTAATAGCTTAACTAGAATATCTTATTTTAGGCTTATTAGCCCTATAGGCTAATACTAACCCTTAGAAAACTACTATTTATAAGCTTAACGTAAGAGATTTAAAGGGGCCCCTAGCTTAGTTAGGCTAGCTTTGCTACTGCCTTAAGCTAGATTTAAACCTATAACCTCTAGAAGATTTATAAAGTGCTAGTATAATTATAATAGTAATTAGAAAGGGTGCTAATTAAGTTAATAATTAAAAAGATTAGTAATATTAGTACTTTATGCTAGGATTCCCTTTATAATAGCTTATATATAATAGGTAATAGATTACAGCGCCCTTTAGGGCCTATAATCCTGTTATATTTTAATACTTTTTATTACTTTTTTTTTTATAATTATAATACTTACTATTTTAAGATTAATTACGCTTTAAGTTATAAAGTATAAAGCTTAAATTAAGCTATTTAAGCTTTATAATAGTATATATAATCTTTAAAGGCAAAGCTTAAATTAAGCTATTTAAGTATTATAATAATATATATAATCTTTAAGTATAAAGCGTAAAGCTTAAATTAAGCTATTTAAGTATTATAGTTAATTATGCCCTAGGCTAGGTAGTTAACGTAAGCTATATTACTTATGTAATTTATACGGGATCCCGTATAGATTAAATATACGGGATCCCGTATACCTATGAGCCGCCTATAAGTCCTTGAATTCTAGTTTTTGCCATCTGCGCTCTTCAATGGCACCATTCTGTCATTCGGAGCATCAAATCAAGGCAGTACGTACAGACGTGTGAACGTTCTTAAAAAACCCAAGGTAAATCTTATGATTATCAAGTTGATGAATACTCTGAGCTGCCTTGCGAACTTTACTTGTAAATTACACTACAATTCGTAATGTGTGTCTCGTTCTGGGTTGCTAAATAGCTGCCAAAGGCGGCCTCTATTAGATGAGCACTAACATACACACGTCTATACAGGTACTTCTGGCCTTCAACAAGAGATCGGCTATCGAGTGCCCACATGTTTGTAGGGCGCCATTGATACCTTCCAATGGGGATGAACAGATGTTTAGTAATATAGATATTCATATAATGACAGAAAGTGGCAGTAGGAGCGAGATGTGACAACTAAGCATAGGGTAACTAATAACTTGTGTATTTTAATATTTTATGTTCTGTTTGTAGACATATTTGAGGTGTCTGCCAAATTGATTACTATTATCTATCCAATTTACTGGGTGGCTCTCTAATGCAAGTCTATATATGAACTATTAATAGATACATGCGGCTCAAAAAGCCTGCCACACATTGGATATGTCTGCTTTTCGCTTTACTTGCGCAAGTCTTTCGGCCTTTTTTAGACTCTATGTACACGTGTGCTCCATCCTTGTTGCAGTAGTGTAGACAAATAATCCCCAGGCTAAAATGATTCCATACAGTGTATTAAGCATAAAACGCACCTTTCGTGAACCCTTCATGCCTCCCAAGTCCCCTTTTGGGTGCTAGACCCCTTGTCGCAATCATCATATGTGAGGGGATTCAGCTGCTTGGATCAAGCATTAGTCAATCTTAGCTCTGTTGTGTAAGTCGAGTTTATTTTTGTGATCCCTTCTGAACATCCTGGCAACCACCAGCAACACTGTTTTGCTCCGGGTTCTACTCAAAACCCTCTCGTAAACTCTCTTGTCCTGTGGAACTCCCATGAAAATCACCTGATGGCCATCAATTGACATGTTACATAACATACCCCTTACGTACCTAGCCTAAACTATAGAATTGAGGGGGTTGTAGTATTATTGCGCCAGTCAGACGAAAAAGGTAATTCGAAGCGATGCTTTGAAGAATTGATCCAATAGAGTTTATCGTAGATGAACAGTCCATGTAAATGCCGCGCGGCGTACATCTTGAACTCAGTCGTCAGCTGTCTGTCTAATTGTTTCTTCGTTAGTTGATTGACAACGGCGAGAAATATGTCCCGTTCTGTTCGCCGAGACAAATTAAACGATACTCTAAATATGAGAAGCGGAGAAATAAAGTCCGGTTAGCAAACAGCACGGCCATTGCCATATCCATCAGCGCGCCCTAACTTGGCAACTTGAGTGGTTCGCATGCTGCCTAAACGGCTCGGCGTTCGTTTATGACCCCCATTAATATAGAGACCAACAACTACTAGTGTAATGATTGGTGATTGACTTGGTAAAAAAAGTAACGCTATGGAATCTTGAGTCTGACATGCATACGCATATTACTACTAGTCAGAATCTAGGGTGTCGGTACGAAGCGAAGGCTCGTGTAGTTCTTAGTTCATAAACTCCTCTCCAAGAATTGGTATATATGATGGAAGCAGCTGCGCAAATCCATGCATGCGGCTCTCTGACCTGAAGCAAGCCATTCAACTCAGCAATCTCGATAGACTGTTACCTCTACAAGCAGTACTATTTATTTCTCGGCCAACTGAAAACAGCAACCATGGCGGATAAGGTTCCTACACTCACCGAGTCCGGCCTGCTCAACGGCGGCAAGCGTTCAGTCATTGACTCGGAGCTGGGTCCGGGATCCACCACTTTCCCTCACTTTCACACACTCTTCACCGAAAGCTTCAGACTGCTCTCAGGCGAGATGACCGTCATCATGGCACCAGAGGGAGTCAAAGACGCCGCAGCCATGAAGGAGATCCCAATGAAGATCGGAGAAGACAATACTGTTCCCAAATATACAGCACACACATTTCGGGCCGGCGAGAATGGCTGCAGAGTTATAACTACCTTTGAGCCGGCGGCGGTAGATTTCGAACGAGTTATTCTCATTATGCGCGGTCTACAGGAGGACGCCGAGTACAAGTCTTGGGGCGGAGGAGCAACGGAGGACAACGCCATGATGGTCTCTGTCCTCAGCGAATTGACTGATTCGCACCCACTCCTGGACAGAGATAGCGAGATGCTAGATAAGCAGGACAAGGAGGCACACAATAAGTTCAAGAGCGAGCTTATCAATAGATACGCTACTGATGATATGCTCAAGGCAGCAGTTGCGAAGCATGAAGCGGCATCTGCTTGAACCTGCGGGCGCTAAACTCTTGTATGAATAAAAGCGTTTATTAGCTGTCGATGAAGCAATATAATACACATGCACCTTGTCGTGAACCAGTCTGGAAATTCACATGGAGGATGAGACAGTATATTGATCCGATGTGTGCTTCGTACTCTGCAGATGCAGGAGAACCTAACCATGGTGTAGCAGTTAATTCGCGCCATCAATATGATGCTCTATTCATCGTCTTCCTCAAAGTCTTCCTCAGAGTCCGTTATTTCCGAGTACGAGTAAAAATCGGTTTCGAATATAGGATCAGCAAAAATGACAGTGTAATCGTTTTGAATCTCCTGCATCAAAGTCCTAGGCAGTTTCATGCCTTTCAAGCGCGTCTCTGCGCTTTCCTGTATAAACTCATGAAACGCTTTCTTGGCCACAGTAGGGTCACAGTCTCTTGCATTGCGTAGTTTCTCGTTAACCTCTGGGTCGCGAACTCGTTCAATATCCCAAAAGACGTATCCTAACCGTCGGAGAGGCCAGTATCTAGCAATGCCCATGGCTGAGAGGACAGCTTCAATGCTTGAAGGCCTAAATAGAAGATAACCCAAGTTTACATGGGAGATGTCATTGTCTGATATATTTTCAGGATGGTTGGGAGTCTGAGGCGGGTTCGGATCTTCGTATATAGCGTGGGGGAGAAACTCGCGTTCTCCAAAGTAGTTGCGGCGGATAAGATCTCTTCTCCGCTGACCTTGTGAAAAGAGTAAAGATCGTAAAAAGGGCAATCCGAGGGAGATTAGATACCTTAGGATATCTGGTAATGCGCTTCTATCATCCTCGCCAAATAGTTCAAGCCCTCGTATGTCCGAGGGTCTGAATGGGCACACGCCATCATCGACCTCGATAGAATTCGTTTTTAGTAGACGGCGGAACTCTGCTTGCCTCAGCTGAGCTGCTCTGATTGACGCTGCTGTTGCAGTTTGAGCATCGAGAACTTTTACCACAACTTCTTCCTCTACTTCACTGAAAACTCTCGATACTCGAACCCAGAAATATTCATGGAGGCAGCTTAGCTCTTCCACCTCCCAAGGTGCCATCTGTTGAATGAAATGGTTGAACTGATCATCTGCTGCAAAGATGGACTCGTCGGGTATTCTATGACTGACTGGAAAACAGCGCGAGTAAAGTTCATAGCGGTAGAAGGCTCTCTGTAATCTTGCTTGCTCTGTAGCAGATAACCCTTTTTGGCAAGCAGTATGACACGAGAATGGAGCTTCGCGGTGATGGGGATCTTGCTGTGTTTTCTCACTCTCATATAACGCATGCAATGTACGGCAGGTATAGTCATTGGCAAGTCTCGACACCATGTTTTTCAGCTTCGCTAGTGATACAATGTCATCCATCCTTTTTGGGAATTCAAGAAGCGTAGGGTCCCGTTGGAAATAACGGTCGAGAAACTCCCATAGTCTCTCGTCTCCCTCTGGGTTCATAAACTCTTCCGGGTCGACATGGGTTACAGCGAGCGCATGGTGGAGAGCATCGGGATGTATCGCGCGCTTGAGAACAGAGGAGAGAATGAGCTCGGGAGTAATCCGATAGATGCGGAAACATTCAGGCGATGCCTTGATGAGTGAATACAGGTCGGGAAGAGAGTCGAAAGAGGTTAGAATCAGACGAAGCAGCTCGGGAGGAAGTTCATGAAGGTGCACAGCTGCTGGCATTTTGCCCTTTGTTGGCGATGTCGATACGTATCTTTGGGGATCAATTATTGATGAAGTCTGAAGTTTATGAAAAATGAGATGCTGTAACAACTGGTAATTGAGATGCAAAAGCGAGATGGTGAAATGTAGAGAGGAGAAGACGAGAGGAGATGATGCTGAAGTCAAGACTGGACGAGTTGAATGAAGCTGAGGCGGGGTAGCGCGTCTGTAGCGCGCTGGCATTGGTCTACAGCACGATGTTCTCATTGAGATTGGATTACTGCAATATTACTACAGTATTACTGTATGCACATCCACAGTGCATGATGTATTTTTCGAGAGATGTTGGAAATATAGTCCAAGACAATTCAATCTCTGGCTTAAGACTGTGTCTTTGTGCATCGTTTGTATTGCCGTATAGCAGTTTGGGACACTGGCTGGCGAGCCGCGTGTTTAGAGAACGGATGGCTTGCTCTGAGGCGACTGGGTTCCCATTTCTGTATAGTGTTAAGATTTACAATAAGCTAAACAATTGAAGCATGTTCTATATCTGTAGCTATGAGCTATCTTTGATTAGCTATAACTTGTGGCTGATTATCAAGTTATTTATAGTGAAGCCCAATGAACAATATTGGCTCTCGACTCTTAGTGCCAATATTTACCTGTCATTGGTCTAACAAGCTCCCAAGCCTTGTCCAGCGCGGTGATGACATCCTCTGGCAGCGGTCCCTTTTCCAAGTCTAGTATGTTCTGCTCAACGTGAGTAGCGCTGCTTGCTCCTATCAACACAGAATCTGGATATTCGCCGTCATCCATCGTAGAGCAACCTGAGCGACTCTCAAGCCATGCTTATCAGCAGCCAGCTTTATCATCTCCACTGCGTCAAAGTACGCATCGTTCCAATATCGCGCTCGATAGCCCTTCCCCTGTGCTAGTTCCGGGTCAAATCGAGACCCTTTCTCTACAGAGGTGTTCTTCCCTATATTGCCGGTCAGAAAGCCCCCAGCAAGTGGATTATACGCATAGAATGCCATGCTATAATTCCTCAGGCAAGGAAAGAGCTCAGCCTCAACTGTTCTTTGCAACACGTTGTAAACGCCTTGATAAGCCGCCGGTCTGATCCAGTTGTTGGCGTCGCAGATCTCGCAGATTTGAGCCACTTCCCATGACATATAATTGGAAATGCCAAAACGATCGAATAGTCCCTCTTTATGAAGCTCGTTGACTGCTCTCAGTGTATCCACATAGGGTGTTGACCGATCAGGGCCATGCAGATACCACATGGCTATTTTGTCGGCTTGTAGGGCTTTTAAAGATTGTCTGAGACATTCTCGTAAGTGTTCCGGCCTGTGAGTCCATTTGTCCTCGTCTGTTGGCAACACTACCGTCGGGTAGATCTTTGTGTCTATAATAAGGCCTCGACCCTGCCATTGAAGTTTGCCGAGATACTCTTCGGATGTTCCAGAGCCATAATAACGCGCGGTGTCAATCTCATTGTGGCTGTGAGATTGGAAGATATGCAAGAGTTCTTTTGCCTTGTCCAGATCGCTTGTACAACTTTAGTCAAGAACGTCCAGGAGCAGGGTAGGAGGCGACGTACGTAACTCGAGACTGTTCTTTGCCATTGCCGATGGTCATAGCCCCAAGGACAATATTGACGGCCGATTTTCTCGCCATAGCCACGTTTTGCTTTTATATCTGATCTGTTCCTTCTTGTGGCCGTGATTGCTGTATCTTTGGATGCGCGCAACAGGCGTTTAGTGAGAGAACTTCATTACTTGTATATGCCAAAACCTGACCGTCAAGGAAAGTAGACGAATGGGGTTAAACGCAAAGTCCGATAGAAGAAACAGGGTGCTGGAGATATCTTATGTCCGTTCAAGTCAGGGGGGGGGGGGGGGGGGGGGGGGGGGGGGGGGGGG